AGGATCCACATAAGAGTGAAACCATATGGTATCTGTCTTTCTCTGTACGGCTTATTTCACTTAGCATCACACTCTCCAGTTCCATCCACGTTGCTACAAAAGGCCATATTTCATTCTTTCTCATTGCCACGTAGTATTCCATTGTGTATATAAACCACAATTTCTTTATCCATTCATCAGTTGATGGACATTTAGGCTCTTTCCATAATTTGGCTATTGTTGAGAGTGCTGCTATGAACATTGGGGTACAAGTGCCCCTATGCATCAGTACTCCTGTATCCCTTGGATAAATTCCTAGCAGTGCTATTGCTGGGTCATAGGGTAGGTCTGTTTTTAATTTTCTGAGGAACCTCCACACTGCTTTCCAGAGCGGTTGCACCAATTTGCATTCCCACCAACAGTGCAAGAGGGTTCCCGTTTCTCCACAGTATTTCCTCCTTTTAAAGTAATACTGAGCTCACAGATTGACCTCACCATTTGTTTACTCCCTTCTGGAGCAGAACTCAAGAAGCAGGAAATTTCCCAGAGCCTAGACTGGATGAATTTAACTTAACCTTTGTCTATGCACTTTGCTACCCTTTACTAAAGAGTTAATTCCAAAAATTATGCAAAATTGCTCTAAACTCCGATAGACATTTTTCTACCCATGCATTTAAAGTAATACATTTTACAATATATTTAGTTTCTACAGATGTTTTATTCAGGCTTGGAGTTAGTTTGTTCTGATTAACAAGGTTTTTGAATAGAATTTAAAATGTGCATACTCTACTAATAAAATAGCATAGCTGTGTAATTTGTAAATCCATACATGCATATATATTGGTATGTTAGAGACAACCAAAAGTACAATAGGGTTGGAATGGAATGGGAATTCTGGGAAATTCTGGATTCCAGTAGGGTCTTGAGCAGATTCATATTCACATCCACAGGGAGTCATCTGCAATTTTTGAAAATGTTTTGGAAGCCCTTCCTTGTCATTAGTAGTAGAAAAATCAGTGGGAGCTGGTTTTGTTTAATATTTTGCTGATTTCTGTATAATCTCATATAGCCTTTATAAGAGTGCATACTGTAGTTTGTGGTTTATATGAAGTTCTACTTAAGGAATTGCCAAAATAAAACTAAATTGAGATACATGTGTGGACATTCTAGATACTTTATAAATGCATTTTCAGTGATGGAATACATTCTTGCCATTGGTGATAATTTATTGCTTGGGCTATCTTTTATTTAAAGAGCTACTTAAAGATCTTTTAAAAACTATTAAAAATCTACTTAAATTTATGTTCTTCTGCTTTATTTTATTTAAGTGGCTAACATATGCAATGAAATTTAAATTCATGATTACTATGTAGTTTTTAAGTACCTCCTATTTATAAAGTATTCCTGAAAAACTATGTGCTTTCAGGAATATATTGCCTTCATATTGATATATTTAGGATATAATTTCTAAATTTTATGAATTTTGTTTACAGGTTCTAGAATTATATATTCATGTAGTCTTTAAATTCTCAAAGTCTCCAATTTATGTGACAGGAAAAACTTTTAATCTCCTTAACAGCCTTAATATTAAATATGATGTTTAAAGAATTGTGGATAATTTATTATAAAAAATTCTACTTACAATTTTAAGAAAATTAAGGACATTCAGTTTTTCTAGATATCTTGTGGTAACTCCTCCAGATCCATCCATCCCCCTAACCAGCCTGCTCACGCTTGTATCTTTTGTGTTTTGGTCCATGAAGCTTATTCATAATAGACTGCATCAAAGATATTTTTGGTACTCTGGCTTCCTGCTAGTGTAACCAACGGGTTCAGTGGTAAGAGACCAAGGGAGATAATGGAGAAGAATGAGGGTGTGGTATTTATACCCCTACTTGGTCACTGCGTCCCCCTCCCCAGAATGACAGCCACTGGCACTATGCAGCCAATAATCTAGCAAATGTCTTTTCATTTTCCTATCAAAAAAGATAACCAGAAATAAGTTGCAGTTCACAAGTTCGAGCCCTGCATTGGGCTCTGTGCTGACAGCCGGAAGCCTGTAGCCTGCTTCAGATTCTGTGTTTCCCTTGCTCTCTGCCCCTCTCCTGCTCTCTCTCTCTCTTTCTCTCTCTCTCAAAAATAAATAAACATTACAAAAATTTAAAAAAAAAATAAAGGAGAGTACATATACTATATTTATTATACTCAAGCAGCGTCTGAAAGCACAAATGAACTAATGACTCAGATTCCCCTGGTACTCTCATTGTACCTGTTTCTTTAGATTCTCTGTCTTTCCCTTAACCTACATTCCTGGCTCCATGGGTACTTCCCTATGATTGGAGAAAGGATGGAGTAGGAAGATAATTGTGTCTCATATAAATGCTCACAAGAATGCTTCTACTGTGGAAGAAGATCTCAGTAATAACACAATGTTAAATCTTCTAATTTTGTTTTGCATTGTTTTGTCATGTGAATTAGTCAGATATTACCATAATAATTCTTTGTAACAAATGCTTTGGAACTCAGTGACTTACTGCCACTTTTTAAATATGGCTTATAGCCACTTTTTTAATAGCCCATATTACTGACCTGTAAGTTTTAGTTGATTCTTTTGTGTTTTGATATATAATTGTATCAACAGAAAATCGTACTTATTTTTTTCCTTTTTCTTTCTGATATTTATAACTCCTATCTCATCGTTTTACTTCTAGATGATTTTAAAGGCCTCCACTCTTGCAGTTTTTCTCATTTTGTAATTACATAGAGTGGTTGTATGTAACTCTGTATATACATTGGTTATTATAAGCAGGATTTGTACAAACAATTATTATCTTATAATACATATATTTTAATCCCTTTGATGATAAATGATGAAAGCAATATATTTTATAAGGCAATACTAAAATAATTTATATTAAATTTAGGAAGCTTCACAGATAAGTAATTTTGGAATCTAAAGTATTTCATATTTCTCTTTTACAAATAAAGATTGCCTTCTGGAGCTTTTGTTTTAAAATCAGATTTTCTTTTGTTATTGTATGTCTAGAACATGAGGCCTATTTGAGAGATATTGTAGAATTACAATGGCATCTTGAAGATAGAGCTTATCAGCTAAAACATTTTGAGGAACAAAAGGTGAAATTGGAGGAAGCTAATGCAAAGCTTCAAGCAGACACAGACTACATGAATGCACGCGGTCCTCTAATTAACTCAAAGCAGAACCAAGAACTTGAAACTCTGAAAGAATTTTATCTAAAAAAATTTGAGGTAAATTAATGGATATGTATCTTACAGATTTATAGATAGTTATAAAAAATGTTTCAGCTAAAAGAAATTAGCATCTTTAAATGTTTCATTTTCATTGAAAATTGACCTGCTACTTATTTCCCAAAGGAATATTATACTACACACAATACAGTCATTTGATATTCATTTAAACTGTGTCTTCTTTCCTTTTATACTTAGGGGTATTAATAATATTTAGTCAACTTACTAATAAAATTTTGGAGATTTAAAACAACATGGTAATATTTGAAGTTGTAAATTGAACTGCAGGAGAAGGCAAATATATATCAGTCACTTTCATTGTTTATGATAATAAAGTATAAAATATTTTCAATGATTAGTTAATATTTAACACTCTTATTGTGGGATTGTGTTACAGAAAAATAAAGTATTTATACCTGCCATTAAGTGACCAAGTATAGAAAAATAAAGTATTTATACCTGCCATTAAATGAGCACATTTATACCTGCCATTACTTTTGATTATTTAGAGCTGCTAAATGTGTTCTGTATTTTCCTCAACCAGTCCATTTTCCTCCCTCGCTCTCTGAAGACAACCTTACCATGAAATTCTGTTTCTAGGTGAAAGTTGTATATTTTTATACATATATATGTATTTTAGCACAATACATGGTTTCTTTTTCATTCTTTAAATAGTATCAAACGTATAACTTTCTGCAAGTTGTTTTTTAATCTGATTTTTTTAAGATATCAAACTATTGTTGATACAGAGAAATCTAGTTTATTCCTTTTACTTGCTGTCTTGGATTTGACACCTAAAGCAAACCTAACAAAAGCAAAAACAAGCAAGTGGGGCTAAATCACCGTGAAAAGCTTTTGCACGGCAAGAGGAACCACCAGCAAAATGAAAAGACAGTCTGCTGAATGGGAGAAAATATTTGCAAATCACAAATCTGATAAGGGGTTAATATCTGAAATAAAGAACTTAGCAGAGACAACCTGAAAAAAAATTGGGCAGAAGATCTGAATAAATATTTTTCCAAAGAATATATACAGATAGCCAACAAGTACATGAAAAGATTCTCAGCATCACTAATCATCAGGGAAATGCAAATCAAAACCACAGTAAGATATCATTTCATACTTGTCAGAATGGCTATTATCAGAAAGACACGAAATAATAAGTGTTGGTAAAGATGTGGAAAAAAGGGAACCCTTGTGTACTCTTGGTGGGAATGTAAATTTGTGCAGCCACTGTGGAAAACAGTATGGAAGTTTCTCAGAAAATTAAGAATGGAACTGTCATATAACTCAACCATTTCACTTCTGGATATTTGTTAGAAGAAAAAAACACTAACTTGAAAACATATGTGCACCCCCTGGTACATTGCTGCATTACTTATAATAACCAAGATATTGAAACAATCTAAGTGTCTATCAGTGGATGGCTGGATAAAGAAGATGTATATACATACAGTGGATTTTTACTCAGCCAAAAAAGAATGAGATCTTGCCATTTGCAACAACAGGGATGGACCTTGAGGACATTATGGTGAGCGAAATAAGTCAGACAGAGAAAGACAAATATCATATGATCTCATTTATATGTGGAATCAAAAGAAACAAAATAAAATACAATTTCATAGTCATAGACAACAGATTGGTGGTTGCCACAGGCAGCAGGGGTTAGAAGATGAATGAAAAAGGAGTCCATAGATAAGCTTCTAGTTATAAAATACATAAATCAGAGGGATTTAATGTGTAGCAATGGTGACTATAGTTATAATATTGTACCGCATATTTATAAGTTGCTGAGAGTACATCTTAAAAGTTCTCATCACAAAAACATCTAGCTATGTGTGGTGATGGATGTTAACTGGACTTACTGTGATGATCATCTCACAATATAGAGAAACATTGAATAATTATGTTTTATACTTCAAACTTATATGTTAATTGTATCTCATTTAAAAAATGAAAAACATTTGTGCTTAAGGGGCACCATCAGTATCTGATAAAAGGTCAATATTCAAAATATGTGAAGACCTTTCATAACTCAACACCAGAAAAACAAGTAATACAATTGAAAGGTGGTCAGAAGACCTGAACAGACATTTTTCCAAAGAAGACATCCTGATGGTCGATAGATGCGTGAAAAGATGCTTCACATCTCTAATCATCAGGGGAGTGAAAAAAACCGCAATAAGTTATCACCTCATAGTTGTCAGAATGGCTAGAATAGAAAAGACAAAAAGGAGCAAGTGTTGACAAGGATATGGAGAAAAAGGAACCCTCATGCCCTGTTGGTAGGAATATAAATTGGGACACCACTGTGGAAAACAATATGGAAGTTACTCAAAACATTAAAAATAGAAATACCGTATGATCCAGTAGCTCCACTACTGAGTATTTACCCCAAGAAAACAAAACCCTATAAAAAGATATATGCACCCCTGTGTTTATAGCAACATTATTTACATTAGCCAAGATATGGAAATAACCTCAGTGTCCATTGATAGATCAATGGATAAAGAAGATGTGGTACACGCATATACAGTAGAATGTTAGCCATAAAAATGATGAGATCTTGCCATTTGCACCAACATAGATGGACCTCTAGAGGATATTATGCTAAGTGAAATTAACCAGTCAGAGAAAGACAAATCCTGTATTATTTCACTTCTATGTGGAATCTGAGAAATACAACAAACAGAAAGCAGGAACAGACCTGTAAATACAGGGAACAAACTGATGGCTGCCAGAGGGGTGGGGGTAGACGGATAGGCAAGTGGATGATGAAGAATGGGAAGTACAGGCTTCCATTTACAGAATAAGTAAGTTTCTGAGATACAAGGTACAGCCTAGGTTGTATAGTCAATGATATTGTAAAAGCGTTGTATGGTGACAGCTACGCTTGTGAGCATAGGATAACGTATAGACTTGTTGAATCACTATGTCATACACCTGAAAGTAATTTAACTTTGGGTGTCAACTATATATCAATTAAAAAAGCAAAAAAGATAAAGGGTACTATCAAAAAAGTAAAAAAAAAAACAAAAACAAACAGAATGAGAGAGAAACAATTGTAAATTATACATTCAGAAAGGACATAGTATCTAAAATATATAAAGAACTTTTTAAATGCAACAAATCAGGGCATACAGCCCAATTAAAGTGGGCAAAGGACTTGAATAGATTATCTCCAAAAGGCATACATACAAATGGGCAGCAAATGTATGAAACGATAGAGGCTCAACATCATTAGTCGCTACGGAGATACAAACAAAAACCCCAATGAGATACCACTCACAACAAAATAACAAGTTTTGGTGTCTGTGTGGAGAAATTGGAACTGTGGTACTTTGCTGGTGAGAAAGTAAAATGGTTGCAGATGCTGTGGAAAAGACTTTGGCATTTCTTCAAAAAGGTTAACGTAGAATTACTATATGCTCTAGCAGCAGTTCTACTCTTGAGGATTATATACCACAAAGAATTGAAAACTGATATTTAAAGAACAAAGCCAAAAGTTTTTACATAAATATTCGTAGCAGCAGTGTTTATATTAGCCAAAAGGTGGAAACAGCCCAGTGTTCATCGTCAGATTAACGACTAAACAAAATGTGATATATCTATACCATAGGAAGAAATAAAAGGAAATGAAATACTGATACATGTCACAACATAAATCAACTTTGAAGGATTATGCTAAATAAAGAAGCCAAATACAAAAGATCACATGCTTTATGATTTTATTGGTATGGAAAATCCAGAATACGTAAGTCTGTAAGACAGAAAACAGATTGTGATTGCTAGGGGAGAATATAATGTAGTGTTTTGTTTATAGTCATTTATCATATAAATTTGTTTTGTTTTATTCTGCTGTCTTGACTCAGTTTTTAAAAAAAAACTTTTTTTTTTACATTTATTTATTTTTGAGACACAGAGAGAGCACAAGTGGGGGAAGGGCAGAGGGGCAGAGAGAGAGGGAGACACAGAATCTGAAGCAGGTTCCAGGCTCTGAGTTGTCAGCACAGAGCCCAATGTGGGGCTTGAACTCACGGACCTTGAGATCATGACCTGAGCTGAGGTCGGACACCCAACCGACTGAGCCACCCAGGCACCCCTGTCTTGACTCAGTTTTGAGGTCCTGGCTAGAGGCCTGCTGAAATAACCAATTGCTTAAATGATGCAAGACCTCTAGCCAATGTACTTGAGCCCTAGTGCATAGCTACTTGCAAATCAAGCTCACAGCCTCATTGTTGCCTTCAAATTCATCAAGCAGCTTGGCCCCATACCACCATAGAGCCACAAGAGTATTGTACACAGTCGGCTGGAGTATCAATAGGGGAAGGATATGCCAGTGCCACATGGGCCCAATCCAGAGATTGCCCTTGAGATGAATTTGTCTTGTTCCTGACAGGGAGCCCACCACCCCAGCAATGCCTACAGGTTACCTCTTCTAAAGGTACTGACAGGTTGGACATGGGATATTTGATATTAGGAATTCTGTTATGTTTCCTGACCTCTTGTTTGCTTAGCTCATCGTCCCTGCATACTCCTTGCTCTCTGCTAAGATACATATGCCCACACTCCTGTGCCTAAAGGGGAGTCTTGTAGGGGTTACTGCCATCTGTGCTATTCTAGAAATTAATGAACATTATTGCTTTTTCCAGGAGGCACTTGCTTCATTTCAGTCCACCACTTTACCCACTGGGGAAAGGATTGTTCACTCCCTAGTGCTTTCTCTTCCTCTCCCTCTAACATTCCAGCAGTGACAAAAAAAAGGGGGGGGGGGGAGAAATGGAGAGAGAAGGGAGATTGTTTATATTTGATAATTAATAAAAACAATAACAATGGAATATTTTGGACCCTTTCATTAATAGTGGTTATTCCTGAGAGAATTACAGGTGATTTTATTTATTTTTCCATGTGTTTTCTGGTTTTTCTACAATGAAGTAATATTGTCTCAGTGATAAAAATAGCAAAAAGTAGCAATTCTATAGGTGAAAAGATAGTTCTTTTATTTTGCTTATGTTACCTGGGATATTGAAGTTATTTTCTTCAGTAACTTTTATACATTTCTAGCATTGATGTCTTTCAGGCTAATGCAAACCTGAAACTTTACTGTGCTCAATAGACTACATATGGGAGGAAACTGATGTAAAGAACTTTAAAAAAAAATCAGAACAACTCTAAATTTAAGTCTTTTCTCTGATCTTACTCTTGCTTGATTCTTTTAATTACTAAGTGTATCAACAATAATATTTTTCATTTCTAGGTAATGGAATTATACAAACAAGTTCAGGAAGAACTTGCAGAAGCTATAGAAAACTATAAGAATGCCAAATTGAAGGCTAAACAAATGAAACAAGACATGGAAAAAGATATTCATAATGATGAAGCAAGCCTAGAAGCCTACAAGTAAGAATTTTTCACAAATGCTGCTTACAGCATTTTGAACAAAAATATTGATTAAAATTTAATTTATATTCCTGTATAAAATATCAGATAAAGAGAAAGGAAAGAATCTAAATCACCCATATTTATCTTATCACTATGTTTATATGTAAATTAAGACATGTTTTTTACATATGTAAATATATGTGTATGAATTCCTAAGCACTATTTTTCTGTCAATTTCTTTTATTTTATATTAGGTTTTTTATTTTAATTACACTATTAGTATATAGTATTATATTATTTTTAGGCATACAGTATAGTGATTCAACAATTCTGTACATTACTTGGTGCTCATTATGATAAGTATGTTTTTTAATCCTCCGTTTTACCTATCCCCCCCATACACACACCCTATGTTAATCATTAGTTTGTTCCCTGTAGTTAAGAGTCTGTGTCCTGGTTTCTCTCTCTCTTTTTTCTTCCTTTACTCATTTGTTTCTTAAATTCCACATAAGAGTAAAATTATTGTATTTGTCTTTCTGACTTATTTTGCTTAGTATGATACTCTCTAGCTCCATCCATATTGTTGCTAATGGCAAGACTTCATTCCCTTTTATGACTGAATAATATTCCACTGTGTGTATGTATTATACACACACACACACACACACACACACACACACACACACACACACACACACACTACATCTTTATCCGTTCATCTATCAATGGATACTTGGGCTCCTTCCGTAATTTGTCTATGAATGATGTTGCAATAAACATAGGGGTGCATGTATCCCTTTGAATTAGTGCTTTTGTATTTTGGCAGTAAATACCCAGTAGTGCAATTACTGGACTGTAGAGTAGTTCTATTTTTAACTTTTTGAGGAACCTCCATACTATTGTCCATAGTGGCTATACCATTTTGCATTCCCACCAGCAGTGTAAGAGGGTTCCTTTTTCTCCACATCCTCGCCAACACCTGTTGTTTCTTGTGTTTTTTATTTTAGCCATTTTGATAGGTGTAAGGTGATATCTTATTTGTTGTTTTGATTTTCATTTCTCTGATGATGAATGATGTTGAGCATCTTTTCATGTGTCTGTTGGTCATCTTTATGTCTTCTTTGCAGAAATGTCTGTTCATGTCTTTTGTCCATTTTTAATTGGATTATTTGTTTTTTGGGTGTTGAGTTCTATCAGTTCATATATTTTGCAATACTAACCCTTTATCATATGCCATTTGCAAATATCTTCTCCCATTCAGTAGATTGCCTTTTAGTTTTGTTGATTGTTTCCTTTACTGTGCGAAAGCTTTTTATTTTGATGTAATTCCAGTAGTTTATTTTTGTTTTTATTTACCTTGCCTTGGGAGACCTATCTAGAAGAATGCTGGTATGGCCAATGTCAGAGAAATTACTGCCTATGCCATCTTCTAGGATTTTTATGGATTCAGGTCTCACACTTAGGTCTTTAAACCATTTGAGTTTCTTTTGTGTATGGTCTAAGGATGACTCAGTTTCATTCTTTTGCATGTAGCTGACCAGTTTTCCCAACACCATTTGTTAAAGAGACTTTTTGTATATTTATTCCTCCTTTGTTGAAAAGTAATCATCATATAATTGGCAGGTTGATTTCTGGGTTTTCTACTCTGTTCCATTGATTTATGTGTTTATTTTTGTACCAGTACCATACTGTTTTGATTACTACAGCTTTGTAATATAACTTGAAGTCTGGAACTGTGATACCTGTAGTGTTGCTTTTCCTTTTCAAGATTGCTTTGGCTTTTTTGGAGTCTTTTGTGGCTCCATACAAGTTTTAGAATTTCTTGTTACAGTCCTGTGAAAACTACTCTTAGTATTTTGATGGGAATTGCATTAAATGTATAGATTGTTTTGGGTGGTATAGACATTTTAACAATATTTGGTCTTCCGATCCATAAGTATGGTTTGTCCATTTCTTTGTTTCATCTTCAATTTCTTTTATCAGTGTTTTATACTTTTCAGAGTACAGGTCTTTCACCATTTTAGTTAAGTTTATTCTTAGTTATCTTATCATTGATGCAGTTGTAAATGGGAGTATTAATTTCTCTTTCTGCTGCTTCATTATTAGTATATAGAATTTCTGCCCGTTGATGTTGTATGCTGTGACTTTACTGAATTCATTTATCAGAACTGGTGTTGTTTTGGTGAAATTTCAGCGTTTTCTGTCTGTTGTATCATGTCATCTGCAAATAGTGAGAGTTTTACTTCTTTCTTAAAATTTTGGATGTCTTTTATTTCTTTTTGTTTTCTGATTGCTCTGACCTTTTGTTGTCTGATTGCTGTACTGTGCTGAATAAAAGTGGTGAGAGTGGACATCCTTGTCTTGTTCCTGACCATAGGAGAAGAGCTCTCAGTTTTTCCCCATTGGGTATGATGTTCACTGTGCATTTTTCATATAAGGCCTAATTATGTTGAGGTATGTTCCCTCTAAATTTACTTTGTTGAGGATTTTTATCATGAATGAATGTTGTACTTTGTCAAATGCTTTTTCTTCATCTCTTGAAATTGTTTTTACCCTTTCTCTTATTGATGTGATGTATCACGTTGATTGATTTTGAATATTAAACTCCTTGCATTCCAAGAATAAATCCCACTTGATGTGGTGAATTATTTTTTTTACTGTATTGTTGGATTTGCTTTGCTAGTATTTTGTTGAGAATTTTCGCATCTGTGTTTATTGGAGATACTGGCTTGTAATTCATTCTCTCTCTCTCTCTCTCTTTTTGTGCTGTCTAATATTGGTATCAGGGTGATGCTGGCCTCATAGAATGGATTTGGAAGTTTTCCTTCATATTCTATTTTTTGGAATAGTTCAAGAAGATTAGGTATTAACTCTTCTTTTTATGTTTGGTAGAATTCACCTCTGAAGCAGTCTGGTCCTGGACTTTGTTGGGAGGTTTTTTAAATATATTTTTTAATGTTTATTTATTTATGAAAGAGAGAGTGCACGTGTGTGAGTGGGAGAGGGGCAGAGGGAGTTTTTAGTTACTGATTCAGTTTCCTTGATGGTCATTGAGATGTTCAATTTTTTTATTTCTTCCTGTTTTGGGTTTGGCAGGTAATATGTTTCTAGAAATGTATCCATTTCTTCTAGGATATATGTGATTTGTTGGCATATGATTTTTCATAATATTCTCTTAAAATTATTTGTATTTCTGTGGTGTTGGTTGTTACTTCTCCTCTTTAATTTATGATTTGTTTATTTGAGTCCTCTCTTCCTTTTTTCTTTGTTTTGATGAGCCTGGATGGAGATTTATCAATTTCGTTGATCTTTTGAAAAGCCAACTCCTGGTTTCATTGATCTGTTCAACTGTTTTTGTTTGTTTGTTCATTTTTTTTCCTTTAGTTTCTGTATCATTTATTTTTGCTCTAGTCTTTCTTATTTCCTTCCTTCTCCTGGTTTTAAATATTGTTTGTGGCTCTTTTATAGATGCTTTATATGTATAGTTAGATTGTCTATTTGATTTTTTCCTTGGTTCTTGAGTAGGCCTGCATTGCTGTGTATTTCCTGCTTGAAACCACTTTTGCTGCATCCCAAAGATTTTGGATCCTTTTGTTTTCATTTTCATTTGTTTCCATGTAATTTATTTCTGTTTTGATTTCTCAGTCAATGCATTCATTGTTTAGTAACATGTTATTTAACCTCTGTGTATTTGTGGTCTTTCCAGATTTTTTCCTGTGGTTGGTTTCTAGTTTCCTAGTGTTATGGTCAGAAAAGATGTATGGTATGACTTTGATCTTTTTTAATTTGTTGAGACTTGGTTTGTTGCCTAAAAGTGATCTGTTTTGGAGAGTATTTGTGTGCACTTGAAAAGAATGTGTATTCTGCTTTTGAGGATGGAATGTTCTCAATATATCTGTTAAATCCATCTATTCCAGTGTGTCATTCAAAGGTACTGTTTCCTTGTTGATTTTCTGTTTGAATGATCTGTCTGCCACCGTAAGAGGAGTGTTAAAGTCTCCTACTATTACTGTATTAATATATATTAGTTCAATTATGTTTTCTATTAACTGCTTTATGTGTTTGGGTACTTCCATGTTGGGTGCATAAATATTTACAATTGTTGTATCTTCTTGTTAGATTGTCCCCTTTATTAGTATATAGTGCCCTTCTTTGTCTCTTGTTACAGTCTTGGTTTTAAAATCTATTTTGTCTAATACAAGTATTGCTACCCCAGCTTTCTTTTGACATCCATTTGCATGATAAATATTTCTTTATCACCTCATTTTCTATCTGCATGTGTCTTTAGGTCTGAAATGAGTCTCTTGTAAACAGCATATAGATGGGTCTTGGTTTTTAATCTACTCTGTTACCCTGTTTTGTTCTTTGGAGTGTTTAGTCCATTTACATTGAAAGTAATTATTGATAGATATGTACAAATTGCCATTTTGGTACTTGTTTTATGATTTCTATTGTAGATTTTCCCTGGTCCTTCTCTTGCTTCTTTCATACCTTGTTATCTTTCTTTAATGATTTCCTTTCTCTTTATTCTTCGCATATCTTTTGGATTCCTTTCTCTTTATTCTTTGTGTATCTATTACTGGTTTTTGATTTGTGGTTACCATGAGGTTTGTATATAACATCTTATGCATATTGCAGTATATATCAAATTTATGGTTGCTTAAGTTTGAACTCATTCTTAACTCCTCTCCCATCCATGTTTTTAGTTGTGTGTATAGTGTCATATTTTATATTTTTATTTTGTGAATCCCTGGATTGTTTTTTTATGGAAACACTTGTTTTTACTGATTTTGTGATTACTATTTTACATACTCTTACTTATGGTCTTTCCTTTCCACTCAGAGAGTCCTCTTTAGTATTTCTTGTAAGGCTGGTTTAGTGGTCATGACTCCTTTAGTTTTTGTTTGTCTGAGAAACTCTTTGTCTCTCCTGCTATTTGGAATGATAGCCTTTCTGGATAGAGTATTCTTGGCTGCAGATGTTTCCCTTAATATATCATGCCACTCCCTTCTGACCTG